ACAATTTCATTTCCAATTAATTTGTTACCTTCTTTTTTTTTCGAAAAAATGAGATTTGGGGAGTCCAATGGATTGCACATTGGATAAAAAATCAGTACAAAACTCAACCGCTTCTTCAACAACGTATCGCTCAACGATACAACCCTCTGGACGACTTCGGTTTTTCACGTACCCTTTTAATATTTTCATATAACGTTCAACAGGGTACATCCATCTCATATAAGCTGGTCCACACAATTGTGTCTCTTTCACAAGATGAACAACAAGATGTACCATAATGTCAAAAAATGATGGAGGAAAATACATTTCAAGGTCACACAGAGTAATAACGATTTCTTTTTGTAATACTGGTAAGATCTCCGGATCGATCACCTTACTACAAATTGACCTGGAAAAAAAACACAATTTAGTTATAGCGCTTCTTACTTTTTCTGGCAAAATAGAACGTATACCTATTGGTAGAAAATGTTCCATTATGACATGGCAATCATGTGTCTTCAGACTCTTTAACTTGAGGTCTTTCATGGACACGAGTCTTCTAATGTATGAGGAGTAACCTTCTGGAACTTTAACCTCACTCAGAAACTTACACAATATTTTATTTTCCTTTCTAGATAGAGTATAAGAAGCAGGTGGTAGATATGTTCGTCTTCCTTTCTTCACGGGTCCTAATTCAGTTCTTATTCCCATCTCTACCATGTCCTCTCTTGCTTTAAGGCCATCCTTAGACTTTCCTTTTATATTGAGTAACGTACCAATAACACTTTCAAATACATTTTTTTCAATATGCATAACATCAAGAAAGTGTCTTACGTACAAAGATTTCCAATATGGCAATTCAAAAAAAATTTACCTCTTCTTCCACCCACCCGTGACAACTTTATGTGCAAAAGGCCTGCCAAACTGAATACTCACATCTTTCACCTTTTCACAAATTTGATCACCTGTCAATCCAGGTAGAGCTCTACGTTGTTCGGTATTTCCATTGAACGCTTTTCTCCATCCACGATATTGATGTTTTGAATTTAAGAATCTACGATGACCGAGAAAGACATTCTTTTGACAAAGTTTTAATCGTGTCGTATCGGTTCCATCTTCACAGACAGGACACGCTTTTTCACCTTTAATGCTATACCCGGATAGATTTCCATATGCTGGAAAATCGTTAATTGTGCCAAACAACATCGCCCTCAAATTGAAACTTTCTTTCCTATATCCATCATAAACCTCCACACCGTTATCCCACAAAATCTTCGATTAATGGTTTCAAGTATACATCTATGTCATTCCCTGGTTGTTTAGGCCCATAAATTAACATAGATAACATCATGTACTTGCGCTTCATACATAGCCATGGAGGTAGGTTATAAATCATAAGAATCACAGGCCATGTGGAATGTGAGATACTTTGAAGACCATGCGGGTTCATTCCATCCGTAGATAATTCCTAGCGAAGGTTTCTTATTTCTCCTCCAAAATCAGGATAATCATTATCAATTTTCTTCCACTGTGGTGCATCTGCCGGATGTCGAAACTTTCCATCGATAATTCTTTCATCTGCATGCCAAGTCAAGTGTCTAACATCGGTTTCACTATGAAACATGCGTCTAAATCTCGGAATAATAGGAAAATACCATAAGACTTTCGCTGGAGATAATTTTTTCTTATATCGAGATAAACCGCACTTTGGGCACTCATTCAACGATGCATATTTGTTTCGAAACAAAATACAATCACTTAGACCTGCATGTATCTTATCATAGCTCATGCCAATAGAGCACAACATTTTTTTGGCCTCATAGGTTCGATTAGGAAGAACATTATCCTCAGGAAGCATATCTCTCAAAAGGGCTAATAACTGTGTGAAACTTTTATCCGACCATCCATTGTGCGCCTTTAAGTTGTACAATTTTAATACCACAGACAATCTTGTGAATTTGGGGCAATCTTTATACAACGGTTTCTCCGCATCGCTTACCAACCTCTCAAACATTTTGGGACAATCTTGAAGATCTTCTTCAAGTGCTTCTGCAATCTCTTCCACCCGATCACAATCATATGTATCCGTGGCATTGTCGTATGAAACATAGGTCGCATTACTTTTCACCCCCAGTTCAACATTCTCGATGCTTTTCTCACCATGAAATATCCAACATGTATAACTTCTATCAATTCCGCGCATTAGTAAATGCAATTTCAATCCATCTGCGTCAACCCGACCCACATAACAACAACCCAAGCAAGGACATTTCATTCTATTCGGGTCTTCAGCGTGTTCAACAACAACCTTAACAAACTCTAATACCCCATCCTCGTACTCTTTTGACAATCGATCGGCACACATCCATTTTTGATCCATGGTTTTAACTATTATCTAAGTTAAAGAGTCTGTGTTGTCAACAAAAATCAAACATGTGATTAGAACAATTCTAGAAATGAGGATTGTTGTGGTCCTATAACATATTCAATCAATGATCGTCAACGTTACAATTTTAGAGACATTAGCTTAGTTGTGAACTCATTCTAAGATTCATGATTTGTGTTATTTTTTACTTTTACTAAGTTAAATATTAGATGGGGGATTTACATGATGTGATTCCTTTGTTCCTTGCGGGCATGTCTACATGAGCTAAGCATACATTATGAGAAACAAAAAAGAAACAATGTAGGGAAATTAAGTGTCATGTTGAATGGTAACTCCAACATCTCCTAGTTATGCTTTGTTATGACTCGGTTTGTCTCTACTATGTACAAACTCAACCCTCCACTATCTTATTCTTCACCCATCATTGAGAAATCTAAGATTATTAAACCCATTACAAGTATTTTGACTAGTCCATAATATATCTTAGATTTAAAAAAAATCAAAATAAAAGTTTCAAAAGAGAGAATAGAAGCCATAATACCTAAGGTTCCTCGGCTTTTACTCACGGAGATTGTTAATTTTCTATTTCGCCGTAAGAAGAGAAACAATAAGAAGATGAAGATTCCAGCAAGAGCAGAAGAAGAAATCAATGCTAGTAGAATTCTCTTATTCAAATTCCGGTGATGCATTATTCTAACATCTTGATTTCCTGTATCATTCATTGTAAAAACAATACATCAAACTCATTAGTCTCGTTAAACCAACTCAGTTAATTGCTGTGCAGAAATATAAGATATATTAAATTGACATATGGGTTTGCATGATGCATATTTTCCAGTTTTGTATGATGCATTTTTTCTCTTTGATTTGTCCAGTCAAAGGTGTTGTGTTATGAACTTTGTCCTTTAACTCTTTTTTATTTTTCTGTTTGGTTCCTCTACCTCCTTTTACTTTTAATTCTTTCCCTTTTCTTTGTTGTGTGTGAGGTACTGTTGTTGGGACTGACTTAGATAACTTAGGTTTCCGATGTGAAAACCCTAAGTATCGAGATTTTTTAAGCTTTCATTGAGGGTTTGGAAACTACTGCTGCTACAAATTCAAGGATTTTTTCGTCCCTCTTCAGTGTGGAATGCCTTAGGATTTTATAGACTTAGAATTAGGGTTTGCGTTTTGTGTTGATTGATCCCAATTAATTTACATTAGGAAGATTTGGATCTATGTTCTATTATTTTGCATAATGATTCAATTAGTTATCATGATCTTTGGGCCTTTTATTGTTCAGATCGGATTTTGTAGTTTTTGTATCAATCTCCATTAATGAAAATAATATTTGATTTCTTATTAAGTCATTTTGAGTGATTTGATCTGTTTTTGATATCCTACTGAGCAAATTAAGGTTTCTGCTTTGAATGAACTTTGTCCCACACTTTGACCAAATACATTGACTTGTCTTGGATTTCTTGACTTAATATGGACTCAGAAAATATAATATAATACAACTAAAAACAATCTTACTTACTTCTAATTGGCTCCATTAACCATTAAATATGACAAACTGACTTAATAAAATAGAAAGAAAAACCAGACCTTTAGTAATACTAGTAATTACAATACCATTATTATTATTATTATTAGTAATACTAATAATAATACCATCAAGCCATATCAAAGCAGTCATGCACCTCATTCAATTCACCAAATGCAGCCCTAGGCATGGTCAAACCAGTTCCAATTCATGATAATTGCTAGCTCAGTTCATACAAGCATAAATGCAAATGCACAAACAATACAAAACAATACATACTGACTATCACCTGAAAAAATCAAGTTAGCTATTCCTTGTCGAGATAACGGTCGGAGCGGCCGTGTTTAATAACATAGAGCCCCACAATAGTTGTTATTTGACCGGCCGAGTTTAATAACAGAGAGTGCCACAATAGTTTCTATTTGACAACACTTTCTACTAAATAACATATCGGAGAACAATAGCGGTTTGATCGTTATTTGAAAACAATGCAGTATATTTGTCATAAAAGTTTTGTCGTATATTTGTTTAGAGATAATATACAAAGGAGACAAGAGATATATAATATAAGGTCACATGGATTGTCTTAGAGAAAAGTTTAATTGACCTTGTTACTAATTATTTAGCATGGAAGGGACCACAAAGTTCTGTTCTGGTATGCAAAATTCATGTAGTTTGTCATTCAAAAATATAAAATATGGTTAGTTATCTTGTATTCAATATTGGTTCTCTTCTTGTCTCCAAACACTGTTTCTGAGCTGCTATCAATCATATATCAAGCTAAAATTGCACATAAATCTGATATATATTAGATGGATTGTCAATTCGACGAAACATGTGAAGTGAGATGTCTAAACCATGTCTACCATTGGATTAGCTATAACAACAGACATCAGGTTTCATTCACCATTGCATTGTCTTAAATTTCCTAATCCCTGAAAATGACCTCTGTTAGACAATACCATGTGATCCCTTCTCCCTCACTTGGCCCTATTACAACTATATATACACATTACTCCATGGTTTCACAAGCAACACAAGTCTCGTTACATCCTAAAATATCACAACTCAATATTTATTTCTCATCTAATCTTTTAACATAAAAAAGCAATGGGTTTCCGTATAACAAGTATAATCAGAAGAGCATCATTTTCAAGAACCCAAGGATCTACCAAGGGATTTGAAGTCCCTAAAGGCTATCTCACCTTCTATGTTGGAGATAAAATGAGGCATTTCGTGATTCCAATTTCATACTTGAACCAATCATTGTTTCAAGAATTATTAAACGAAGCTGAAGAAGAATTTGGATATGATCATCCCATGGGTGGTCTCACAATTCCATGCAGTGAAGATGAATTCCTAAACCTCACTTCACGCTTGAATTGAATTGGTTTGTATAAATCATGCAAATGGAGATTTAGATAGATTAGTTTAAGCTAATTTTGACAGAGGGCGTCTTTTTCCATTTTGTTTGTTCCATGTATATCAATCATTCTTACGGAAACAAAAAATATTCCCCCAATGAGAATATTATGACAAGATTCTTAAAACATTTTTAGCTTGTTTCAGATCTCAACAAATTATAATATATACAGCAATATCATTAATCCGATATATTATGCAACTGTTCTTATATTAACTGTAATAATTACTTGTGATTCAAGTTTTCTGGTATCATTTCTTTCATATTTTGAAGCACATAAAAAAAGTTATTTGTTAACATCTGCAATATAAAGCATGGAAAGAAACGGCTTTAGTTTTAAGAATCTCTAATAACAAACCGCTTAACTTATCCGGTAAATAAAAGTAGGATTTTACTATTGAATCTGAAATATGAACTTCTATGTTACATAAGTAACTAAGGAAAAATATCAATATTAGACTATGAAAGGACATCTTTTTATTAAATATGAAGAAATTATGTCTATGATCTAGAACTCTCAATCATTTTCTATGGTTAGTAATTGTTACAGTATACACATTGAGAGGCAATGATCTTACAACCGTGAAGTTATCCTTTTGTTGCTTAATTCACTTGAACCCTCTCCTTTTTCTACCAATTTTTTTCCTTATATAGTTTTGGCGTCAAGTAACATCATATTTTCTAGTCTCAATATCCCAACAAATATTTAAGTTTTGGGTTTCTTTTTGAACTAGTATTCATAAATAAAAAACCCATCTCTATAAACGATTTACAATTCACATCAATGATCATGCTAAAAAGCTCTTATAAAAGCTGAAAAGTTAAAGAAAATCAATTTGGAGCATTGCCATTCTAACATATTAATTATTTTACTTGTTGTTGTTACTATAATTATTATATTCTTACTTGTTAAGATAGTAAGAGATATATTCCAGATCGTTGTCGTTGCTAATTGGTTTATAATATCTTTTTAATATTAAACAAACATTGAAATATGTTATACAAATTCATTGATAGTAAATGTCATTCTTACAAAATCCTAAACATGAAATGGTTTTTTAACTACTTGTTTTTAAAATTGATTAACTAACTTTATTTACTTAGCTAACATTAGCAGAAAACCAAAACCAGAACTAGCAGGAAAACCTCACTGTAGCTAACATATCTAACTTCTAACAGGAATTTCATAACTAACTTTCGTTTTCACTAGTTTTCGATTGGTTTACGGTTTCAAAATGAAGGATGGATCATTGTGTCCTCCATGTGGGTTTGGCTCATAATAACATACTGCTAGAGGAGCTCCACACAGTCCAGGATTCCCAACATAGCATGAAACATCAAAACTCTGAAGCTGAGTGTCAGTTGGTATTTGTCCAACAAGGTTATTGTTTGACAAATTCAAGAAGCTTAAGAACGACAAAACTGAAATGGTATCAGGGATTTCTCCAACAAGATTATTCTGAGATAGATCAAGAGATTCTAAGTTTATCATGCAATACTCAAATAATCCAAACTATTTTCCCTACCTATTTTGTGGCAGATCAGAGGAGAAATGGATCCTGCAAAAGAATTTGCATGCAAATCCAAAAAGACGACATTTTCTGATATACGTGGGAGCCCTCCTCCTAAGTTATTATCGTTCATAAATATGATTTCTGAGTTTAGCGTGACATTTGATAAGTCTGCACTGATGTTGTTGTGGGACATGTTAATTTCTGTAATATTAGCCACAAATCTCCAAAATGTGTCTCCATTAACGGATGAAACCCTAGAGTTAGGAAACTCAAGATATTCTAATGAACTCTGTGTATGTATCCATGCTGGAAACTTAGGACCTAGAATTGTATGACTTAAAATTAACCCATTTAATTGAAATGGAGGAATCCATTTAGAATCCAGATCAAATGAAAATGTTGCATCCAAGAATAGAGTTTCTAAATGCAAAATCGAGTAAACAAATCACTGTAACTACAACTATCAATCCAAAATTTAGAAGGATGAAGAAATTTTACCTTATAGTGGAGATGGTGGTAACGAATCCGAACGAAGCGAGTTGGAGAAGAAGATGAACCACGTCCACGGTGAGGAGGGAGGAGACGAGTTAGACGAAGATGAACAGTTGCGTGTATAAAGTGGGGTTTTGTATAAAGTGGGGTTTCTGATAACCAATTTAGGGATTTAGAAATTATTTAATTACCTTAGACAGCGCTTTCAAGAAGCGCTGCTAAAGGTATTACCTTTAGCAGCACTTTAAGGCTTTAGCAGCGCTTTAGTGTAATGCCTTTAGCAGCGCTTCTTGAAAGCGCTGTCTAAGGTATACCTTTTATCACACCTATAGCAGCGCTTTTGGTAAGCACTGTCTAAGGTATACCCTTTAGCAGCGCTTATTCTTATTTTTTTATTTTTTTTTATTGAAAACCTATAGCAGCGCTTAGGGAAAGGAAGTGCTGGCTATGATAAAGCCTTTAGCAGCGCTTTTAGTAAGCGCTGTCTAAGGTATACCCTTTAGCAGCGCTTATTCTTATTTTTTTTTATTTTTTTTTTATTGAAAACCTATAGCAGCGCTTAGGGAAAGGAAGCGATGTCTATGGTAAGGCCTTTAGCAGCGCTTTTAGTAAGCGCTGTTTAAGGTATACCTTTAGCAGCGCTTACTCTAATTTTTGAATTTTTTTTTTGAAAACCTGTAGCAGCGCTTATGGCATAAGCACTGTCTATGTGGCGCTGTCTAAATTCAATTTTGGCATAGTGGTATATGCTTAATACTTTGATTCTTAGGTCAATAGCAGCCTTTAAACCCAAGATGCATGCTTCATACTCAACCATGTTATTTGTACAGTCAAAGTAGAGTATGGCAGTGAAAGGTGTATGGCAACCTTCGGGAGAAATGATCACAGTGCCAATCCTATTACCCAATGAATTGGAAGCTCCATAAAAGACCATAGTCCATCAGGATCCTTGTTCAGGTCCTTCATACTGTCCAGGCTTTGCACCTTCGGTTATCAGCATGATATTCTTGTCCGAGAATTCAAATTTCATAGATTGGTAGTCATCAACAGCTTGATAGGATAAATGATTTGTCAGTACACTTCCTTTGATTGCTTTTTTTTTGTAGTGTATTGGATGTCATATTCAGTCAAGATCATTTTCCATCCGGTTATTCGTTCGAAGAGAGTTGTTTTCTTGATGATATACTTGATGGGATCTATCTTATAGATCAATAGAGTAGTATAGGCCAACATGTACTGTCTTGGTTGGCGAGCAACCCATGCCAAAGCACATCAAGTTTTCTCAAGCAGTGAATATCTTGTTTCACAGTCGATAAACTGTTTACTAAGGTAGTATATTGCACGCTCTTTTCGACCATACTTGTCATGTTGTCCCAGCACACACCCTATTGAATTCTTTAATACAGTCAAGTACATGATCAGAGGTCTTCCTTCAAATGGAGGTATTAGGATTGGAGGTTCTTGTAAGTACTCTTTAATCTTGTCAAAAGCTATTTGGCAGTCATGATTCCATCTGACTACTTAATCTTTCTTCAGCAGTTTAAAGATGGGTTCACAAGTAGCAGTTAAGTGAGAGATGAATCAGGTAATATAGTTAAGCCGCCCTAAGAAACCTCTGACTTCTTTCTCAGTACAGGGAGCTGGCATTTCTTGTATGGCTTTGACTTTTGCAGGATCGACTTTAATACCTTTTCCACTGACAATGAAGCCTGGGAATTTTCCAGATCTCACCCCGAAGATGCATTTGTTGGGATTCAGCCTCAGCTTGTAGTTCTTAAACCATTCAAATAGCTTGTGTAGGTGATCAAGGTGCTCTTCCTCAGGCAGGGATCTTGCTATCATGTCATCAACATAGACTTCTATCTCATGATGGATCATGTCATGAACCAAAGTCACCATAACCTGTTGATAAGTTGCACCTGCATTCTTCAACCTAAAAGGCATGACCTTACAGTTAAAGGCGCCCCACTGTGTAACAAAAGTGGTTTTTTCCATGTCTTTGGGTGTGTGATACGGTAGGAGAACTGACTTGGGGTTTTTCCTTTGTGTTCGCAAATGTTTCGGTTTAGCAAGAGTCGCCACCGACTTTTTATTTATCCAAAGGAAAGGTCAAAAAGCACAGGAAAGACCTTTGAAATGTTTTCTTGGGTTCAGGGGGTAGATTATGAAAAGGGAAGGTTCTAGCACCCCTTTTATCCATGGTTTTCCATGGGCTCTTAGTTACTTGTTTTAGATCACTTGCTTTTGCTTTTCAATTGTTTGAAATGGTGCTTTGTGCGTGGTTTTGAAAGTATTTTGAAAAGAGGCCATCATTGTGGCAACCTTTGTAATGATTCTTGTTTGAATGTATACAAAGGTGTTTGTCTTTTAAAAAATGTTTCAATGTTTGAAAGTTTGTTTTGGGAAATGTTTTGAAATTGTGTTGTGATGTGTTTTTGAAAATAGCAAGGATGTTTGCAAGTTTTGTTCAAGTAACTAAGAGTTATCTACCCTATCTACTCAAAGATCTTTCCTACACATTTTTAACCCTTTTGACAGTGTTGTTTTACCATTGCATTTGGTAAACAACCTTGTATTTGGATGTTAAACGGGACAGGCGCGGGTCATCGTATTGACCATGATAGCAATAGTGCTAAATATCTTAGCAAGTTTTTTTGTTTGAGGGACTAGATCATTTTGTATAGGCAACCAAGATAGCGTCATCGAGGGACTATGATCTTTTGTTTTGTTTTTGTTTTGCCAAGATACTCAACATGCATACCATGGCCATTTTAAAGGCAACAAGTGGATGAAACCCTAGGGGTGCTTGTGTGCATTGTGTTGTCATTTTCATGCATTTTGTCTTTGTATTAGTCAAGCTATTTGTTTTGATTTTGGATTTTCCATACAAACCCTAATCTCTATCATGTATATTTGAAAGCTATAAATGCGTAAAAGTAATCTAAGCTATTACAACA